ACGCAGGAAAGCATGAGGAGCTTAGGTTTTCCTTTTTGAACACACGTACTTTAATAGTTACTTAATTTAGGAATTCTTAATTTCAGAGCTAGAAAGGAAGAGAAATAGCCAAGATTGGTAGCTCTCAATTGTAGATGAGAAATTTGAGACTGAGCTATTTGAAGAAGGTTGAGTTCAGAAGGGGAATTTCCCTGGTGTGACTTGAAAGTACTTCGGGCTTCAGGATATATGAAAGGGAATACCATATTGGGAGCTTTATTTATTTATTTATTTATTATTTATTGTGGTACCAGGGATTGAACTCAGGACCTTGTGCTTGCCAGGCAGGCACTTTGGGAGCTTTAGATAAAAAGAGCATTGGAAACAAAGGGGTGTGATCGGTTGTCTGTTTAGATATGTTCCTGAGATTTTGTTTCTCCTGTTAAGTGCTTTGGCCAGCAGAGACCCCTCTACCAGTCCTCGGTCCTGGTTTGGAGGATGATTTCTGGGGAAGAGGCAGAGGCTGAGACAGGGCTGTGCTCGGGAGAGCAGAAGCTCTAGGCAGTGATGGTGGGTGAGGTCCCAGGCGGGGCAGACATCTGTGCTTTGCAGATGGAACAAACTTAGCAAGGAAATGGCAGGGTGGAGAAGTTGGGGTTGGGAGGAGGAGCCCTGCCACTGTCCCCAGTGACCATGGCAGCAGAGCCACTGTGATGAACAGTGTGGGCAGAGGAAGATGCCAGAGGACCCTAAATATCAGCCTGGCTCTGCAAATGTGCAGCCCCACATTCCACCAGGGCAGAAAATAACAGAGGGCTCCACACCAGGCTCCTGAGGCTTCAGGGAGCGCTGCAGCTGTTTGAAGTGCACCGTGGACATACTTGGTGCTGGGGAAGTTCGGCTCCCATGGAGCAGCCGTGGACCTGCTCTGGAACTGAGGGGGCCAGCCAGGCAGATGCCCCAGGTTGCCCCTATTCTCAGAGCTCGACGAGAGGACAGACCGAGCGGACCAGATTGCACTTGATGTGGCGGGCACGAGATCATTCTTACCCCCTGACGCTATCGACCTTGTATTATAATTAACCATTTATTTCTGTGTGTGGTAAATAACAATGCTGACATGGTCACAAAATAACGAGAAGCATATGGGTCACAACTGGTTTCAACTAACAACTTCTCTAAAGATTTATTTAGATTCCGCAATTACAGAGAGGTTTGGAAGACTGGCATGTGGCTTCAGTTTATAGATATAAACACTGGCCTTCGGCCTGGCTATAGCTTAGGTTGCCAGGGAGGGAGAGAGATGAGAGTTAGAGGGGGCTTCTGTTCCTTGGGGTCCTCCCTTTGGCCATTTCAGAAACCAAAAAGCAAAGTGACGCTCTGGGCTGGGAACAAGTAGATGTGGTCACATTTACCCTCCCTTGATGGTGCTTCAATAAAGCAGGCGAGGTTTCCCAGGGCTGAAGGACTTCAACTGGTGAATTTTCATGCCAGTTTGAAATCAGTGGCTTTCTAGAGCCCTGAAAGAGTAAATCTCTTTTAGCCTTTGTCTTCTAAAGATGACAACGTTGGGAACATCTCTCTGTGAGATGAGGCGGCCCGTTTTTGAAGATAGTTAAGTAGCTTAGGGCAGTTGGCCCCCTGTAGCCAGGGACTCAGCCAACTTTTGGTCAAAAATATTGTACTGAATATCCACTGTACTAAAATATGCTGGCTCTGTTCCTGTCATTATTCAGCAAACAATGTGGTATAATACCCATTAACATAGCCCTTACATTGTCCTAGGTGTCATGAGACATCCAGATATGGCTTCAGGTGGCCGGGAAGCTGAGTGGAGGCTGTATACACTGAGCTGTTTTGTAGCAGGGCTGGAGTATCTGCTGATTTTGGTTTCCAGGTGGATGGGGTGGGGGCGGGGGTCAGATAAGGTGCTAGAGCCAGCCCCCTTGACTGCCAAGTGCTGACTACATTTCTATTTGTACAGGCAAAAAAAAAATAATAACAGTATTCTGCTTTGGTGTTTTGACTTGTGATAGGCACATGCAGTGTCATTTGGTGTCGACTCTCTGTGTTAGCTGTGTGTGTGTGTGTGTGTGTGTGTGTGTGTGTGTGTCCTGTGGGGTTATTCAGATTTGAAGTAACTTGCCAATGCTTTGGGTTTGGTGTAAATACAGAGTTAAATCGCAGCCCCAGAAACCCATGTGGTGACCTGTACCAGAAAGCCCACGAAGGACTCAGCTGTCAAGTGCCTTTCTGTACAGCTTGACGAAGATGATACCGAAGTGGTATCTGTGAACTACCGTGTCAAGGAAGGCAAATAAAAAGCAAGTCCAAGCAGTAGTTGCCTTCCCCACAGGGAGGTCTTAGATCAACTTCAAGTGTTTACCGTGCTTCTCGGAGCTCACGGCTGTAAGGGGCTTTGCCCTGACCTGGAGAGACTCCATCTGAGCTTTCATCCCTAAATTAACACTGATTATATTTCATGCATACAGTTCTGTGTGCAGAGATCACTTGGAGAGGAAGCCTCTGCCCTGGAGCAGCCTGTGTTCTTGCAGGAGGCCAGAAGATAACCAGTCACATGAGGTGCTCTGACGCTTATTCGGGGCTGACACTTCCAGAGCATCCTGGTATGCTTTGGCCGCATCCTCCCATTCTGCATGGGAAGTTCGGCCACGGAGTGGGCGAGGTGGAGTCTGTGGCCCAGTGAGCTGGAGGTCTTGTGCCTCCATGCCCCACCTTTCTCACTTCCTAGTGGTGCAGGGCGGGGGCACGCTTCCTCTGGTAATCAGAGGCCACCAGAGAGCCCACCTGGATCTGGAACAAGCTTTGGTTATGTAGCAAACGGATGACTGACCTTGAGGGACTGGAACAGATCTGTGGGCACTGTGTAGACAAACACACTAGAGCGACTGTCACTTGCAGAAGACCCTGGGTGCCAGACATCTCATTACATTTTCTGTTGGTCTCTCCTCCTCTTGTTCACACACTCACTCATCAGATGCACTCAGATTCTTTGCTACATGAAAGGCCACATTGGCGTGGGACAGGATGGCTGCAAACAAGGCGAGGGGGCAGGTCTCCTGTAGGGTTTTAGGGTAGTCCAGCGGGAAGGTAGGTACACCCACAGCATTGTGGGAGAACATGGTAGGATTCACAATAGTTTTGGGGTCTGGTTGTGACCCTTCTGAGGTCACATCACCTCTCACAGTGGTTGCTCTGAAGGAGGGTAACACGTGCTTTGAAGAGCTCTGTGGAATAGGATCTCAGCTGGGTGTGGCGCACACCTGTCATGGCAGCACTGTGGGAGGCCGAGGATCACAAATTTAGGCTCAGTCCAGGCAACACAGAGAGGCCCTGTCTCAAAATAAACAATAAAATGGCAAGGGCCGCAGCTTAGTGTTGAAGCCTTGTTCATTCCCAGTACTGGCCCCCACTTCCCCAGAATCAAGTTATGACTGTGAGGTCACCTCCCTCCCCTCACCTGGCAGATTTGAGGTATGGAGAAATAGTACCTACACCTTGTGAAGAGAAGCCCATGTCCCCGCTGCCATAGAAAACCTCTGCGGTGTGGCGGCCATGTGTGAGTTCTCCCTGGAACCGAGGCCCCACCAGTCTCCTTGTCTCACACAGCGCTCTGTCACAGGTGCCGTGTCCCCGGTGACTCCCAGTAATACAGAGCACTGGGAGTCAAGATCAGGGCTCAGTTCTGTCCCCATGCTGCCATCACCCTGGCTGTGTGGCTCTGACAGTCATGCCCTGGCTTCGTGCTGGGCTTGTGAGGTTGAAAATGGTGAGAAACCGCAGAGGCGGGATGGCTGTGGCACCTGGTGAGTCCCCGCTCCTGGTTCTCCTTGTTGTCTGATGTCGCCACCCCACTTGCGCCCTGTGGTTGGCTCCTGATCTCCTCTGCCTTTAATTTGGAATTGCTCCCCTCTCTAGGGCATCGCTCCTGCCTGCTCCTCCTTCCCTTGGCCTCCGCCCAGAGCTGCCCTTCGCCCCTCACGTCCCTGAGCTCTGAGCCCTTCGCCTTGCGCTTCCTCCCCTGGGGAGGACCCAGCCAGCTTCTTGTCTTGGGTAGCGCTTTGCCTTTATCTTTAGCATGGGGCTGCACTTAGTGACTGCATGTCCTGCTTGTTTCCTTAGTTTTGACTGAGAACTCATGTAAGATGTGGAGCTGTGTGCGTGTTCCCACCATGTTCCCACATGTCAGATTCTTAGTAACTACCTGAAGGGCCGAATTAAAAGAGGAACTTTACCTATTTTAAATGTACTATTGTCAGAAGTATTTTTCAGTTAGCTAGAAGAGGCAAGATTCATGTCATTAGCACATTTTGAGAAGGGGAAGGCCGCAGGTGCCTGACCTTGTCTCCTTGGGAGGGAGCCCTGTCACGCCAAGTCCAGGTCAGAAGCCAGGGCCGGGCCTGAGGAACCGTGGCAAGTCCCGTGGTGGCGGTGCACCTCAGCTCCCATCGTTCACTGTAAAGGTGTTAGTTGTGTATTTAGCTGTGTGAGGGTGACATGAGCTGTTTGCGATTTTTTTTTTTTTTTTTTTTTTTTTTGCAGAACCGGGGATTGAACTCAGGTCTTTGCACTTGCCAGGCAAGCGCTTATTCTATTGAGCTATCTCCCCAGCCCCTGGCAGCATTTTTCTAGCGTTTGGAAAGGCTGCTTTTGCCTTGTACTGAAGCTCCGTGAATTGCCCCGAAAATCTCAACGTTGTCGTCCTGTTGTGGTCGTGTGAGGCGCAGCATTTTCTCCTTGGCTGTCTGAATTCCGAGAGCAGCCTGATAGCGCGGGGGTTACATAACAGGACTGTGTGGCGCGATAGACGGGTGCCGTTTTGGTTCGTGGATCATCTGAGGAGGCATCGTGGGCCAGGAGAGGTGGAGTTGCAGATTGTATGAAGTCTGAGGACAATGCGGCGTGACGCGCTGCTTGCTGCCCAGGCGGCTGGGCGGCCCGGAGGAGCCTGCTGCGCGGCGAGAGTCTTGTCCTGAGGTCTGTTCTCCTTTCCCTTGCAGCTTCGCCCTGTCCGACGAGGCCTACAGATCCCTCCGTGATCAAGACAAGGACCAGTGCATCCTCATCACTGGGGAGAGCGGAGCAGGAAAGACAGGTGAGGCTCGGTGGAGCAAGCTTGCCTTCCCAGGAGGACGTGAGTGCGCCCGCACAGAGGGGCGGAGCCCCGACGGCCGCTGCGAGTGCTGCGACTGCACCTGCTGACGTCGTGCGTGGTGGGGCGCCGCCTCCTTCATCGCAGAAGGACCTGGGGACGGCAGGGTCTCCACCTCACCCGCGGGTGGGGTTTCGTGCTGGATCCTGGGCCTTCCAGTGCCTGCTCATAGTGCTGGGAGGGTTACCCCCCCCCCCCAATGTGTCAGCCTTCTCTCTGAGCACTGCCAGTTGACTCCAGTTTGGGGAGGCTGCAACCACACCTTACCCTGCTAAAAATGAGAGAAAGCACCAGAAAGTGCTTAATTCCCCCCATCGCAGGCTTCCTTTCTAATATTTGAAGACTTGAGATTTCTCCCCTCCCCCTCCCC